TCCTTGTTTCAGTTCCTGCTAACAGTGTCAATAGATGGGTAGGCACTGCTGAGCAGCTCAGAATGGGATCCAGAACCCCTGGTATGCCTTTCACCACTATCGTTCAGTCAGTATTAATGTCAGTGGTGTCCTGTGTGGGCTGGTCCTCTTAGCAGATGACTTAGGAAGTCTTACCATTTCTCAAGCGGTAAACTTTGATATTGATAGTGATGCTGATGTAGCAGAGGTTTTGTATGTTTGTTTACAACACAGCAAATACAGGAAGGAAAGCTGTACTGGAACTCTGGTCTCTAAAAGTAGTTTTATCTAACCACCTCACGTTAGTATGGAACTTCCTATTTACTATACTGCTGGGGAAAGCAGGGGGTTACATCTTGCTGTTGTGTGCGCTGTGCCCTCTGAGCACACAAGACCTTTAATAATTTGCCTTCTCAGCTGGAAAGAATCTTTGAAGTAAGAGTTTGGTCAGCCATCTTTTCCTGGCTTTCTGCAGCATCTTTGCATAATTTGTGCTAAATGTAGCTGGTTTTAGGAGTGCCAGAGATAATGGCTGTTCAGATTCTTACTAATCCAAGCCTAGCCAAAACAGAAAGAAGGCTTTTAAAGGAAATGGTGGCTCTCATTCCTACAGCTAGGTTAAGGTTGAAAGGAAAGTTTGTCTTTTGAGGTACTTTGCTCCAGTCATGGCTCCAAAATATTCCAACGGCTGGATCAACTGTATTCATGTAAAAGAAACCACAGAACAGAAGTTGTTGTGTCTCCAGGATACCACTTTGTAGGTGAAAGCACCAAATATAGCACTGTGAGACTGGTAAACTCTGTGTGCTCACCCGTAGCCCAGCAACTGTTGCTCTGCATAGTTTAGAAGTATTTTTCTTTAAGGTTACAACATGTTGGGATCTCAAATCCAATCTCTGTAGGACAGTTTGATGTCATTCGCCTAATGATGTCTCCAGAAGAAATATGTGCATTGCTATAGGAAGCAAAGGATCTATCACTTTAATGATTTTTTTAGTTTGTTCTCTGAATGCTACCCATAATGTTTTTGAAACATTTACGAGTCATAATAATGTAGGAATAATAGTAATGTCTTTGGTAAGCTAATTATCTCAGCAAGGTAGATTTCTCAAATTCTTCTTTAAACTTTCGCAGGCCTTGCAAACTCAAACAGCAATAATAAGACTGGCTGTGCTAAGACAGTCTCTACTAACCCAGAATAACCAGTATGGGGTGGAAGGTTTGGCAAAGTAGTCCATTCTTCCCACTCTCGCCTTAGAAAATTCAAACTTCTATCTATCAATGAATAGGGACTCTTTTGTTAGGAAATTAGTTTAAGTTTGATGTAAAGTGATAGGTTACTCAAGCACACGTTTGAGTTGTAATACTCTCCTACACAGTATTACAGAAGTTGGAAGATTTTTGAAATAAAAAGAAAGAAATATTTATGGGAATAGTAAAAATTTATTCTGCTTAATTATGTAGGACAAAAGGACAAATAAATCTGATGGGCATTATTTCAGCTATTGAACTGGTGGTTTCTTTAGAGCAGGGTGGTTAATGTCCCTTGTCTGACAAGCTCCACAAAAATATTTTTCTACTTGACTGGGAGTCTAAAGAAGCACGCTATATGAGGTAGGCACCTGAAGGGAGGAGATCCAAAGGAGCCCCAAGAGCAGTTTCCAGGCAAGAGATGATCATGGCAGCTAGGGTCATCCACTGCTCCATTGCATGACAGGAGGGAACATGCCATTGGGTTCCAGAGGAACCTGGCAAAGTGTCTCCAGTTTCCTCCACAGCCAGGGGTTTCTTGGGTTACTCTAGTCTAGAAGTCCTACTTGAATGGCTTGTGACCTGTGTGCAGATCAGGATCGGGCATTTGGTTTTGCTTGGCTTACACTTGTGATCCAAACAAGGTCTCCAGATACACATTTGTGCAAAGAGCCTTGAACCTCCTTCCCTGGACATAGCAAATCCTACCGTTTTTCTCTTCTGACTGAACTGCTAGAAATCACAAGGGAGTGTGGGCATCCACAGATCAGCAATGTCCGTCAGGCTTATTTAAATGTTGGGGCCTCGGCATGAGATACACTGGTATTGTTGAATTGCAGAATGATGAAGCTGGGACTGAACATTCTATATTGTGAATGTCTATACAGTTGTCCACATAGAGCCTCCCCTGACTTCCTGCGGAACTTCTTATTGTCATCACAGAATCATTTAGGTTGGAAAAGACCTTTAAGATCATTGAGTCCAACTGTAAACCTCACACTCCCAAGTCTACCACTAAACCATGTCCCTAAGCGCCACATCTACACGTCTTTCAAATACCTTTAGGGATGGTGACTCCACCACTTCCCTGGGCAGCCTGTTCCAATGTTTGATAATCCTTTATGAAGACAGGCTGAGAGAGTTGGGGTTGTTCAGCCTGAAGAAGAGAAGGCTCTGGGGAGACTTTAGAGCTAAAGAGGGCCTACAAGAAAGCTGGAGAGGACTTTTTACAAGGTCATGTAGTGATAGGACAAGGGGCAATGGCTTTAAACTGGAAGAGGGAAGATTTAGGCCAGCTATTAGGAAGAAATCCTTCATGGTGAGGGTGCTGAGGCACTGGAACAGGTTACCCAGAGAAGCTGTGGATGCCCCATCCCTGGAAGTGTTCAAGGCCAGGTTGTACGGGGCTTTGAGCAACCTGGTGTAGTGGAAGGTGTCCTTGCCCGTGGCAGGGTGTTTGAAACTGCGTGGTCTTTAAGGTCCCTTCCAACCAGTCCGTTCTATGATTCTATAACCCTTTCAGTGAAGAATTTTTTCCTAACATACAATCTAAACTTCCCCCGGTGCAACTTGAGGCCATTTGCTCTTGTCCTATTGCTTTTTACTTTGGAGATGAGACCAACCCCCACCTTGCTACAACCTCCTTTCAGGTAGTTGTAGAGGGCGAGGAGGTCTCCCCTCAGCCTCCTTTTCTCCAGACTAAACAAACCCCAGCTCCCTCAGCTGCTCCTCATAAGACTTGTGCTCCAGGCCCTTCACCAGTTTTGTTGCCGCTCTCTGGACATGCTCCAGCAGCTCAATGTCCTTCTTCTAGTGAGGGGCCCAAAACTGAACACAGTACTCGAGGTGCGGCCTCACCAGTGCTGAGTACAGGGGGACAATCACTTCCGTCGTCCTGCTCCCACCCTATTTCTGGTACAAGCAAGGATGGTGTTTGCCTTCTTGGCCACCTGGGCACAGTGTCAGCTTGTATTCAGCCAGCTGTTGACCATCTTTATAACTTAGCTTTTGGCCTGTATTCAAAGCGAAATAAATGCCAATATCTGCAATATTCTTTTTCCTTCTGTTTTTAAGGTAAAAGTGACTCTCTCCACTGCTGCCCATCCATCGAATTTTGGAGTTGTTTCTAAATTGGCTTAAGTCAGAAGTTTTCATGTAGATTAAGAATAGATTAAAAAATTTAGAACCTTTTGTACAAAAAGAATAATAATTACTTTTAGGTACTATATTTACATTTGTGATGTAAGGAAGGTAGTTTTGTCTGATGTCTGTTTATCTGATGCTGTGTTTTCCATGTAAGCAAGTAGAGGCATAAGGATTCATATAAACAGTATAATTGAAAATGGAGTTCAGATGTTTTACCTGATACCTTCTCTTTGCAGGAAATTTAACTTTCTTCGATGGTGTATTTGGTGTTTTGGACCCGCCCCCAAAAAACTAATTCGTAGAAGTGGTATTTAAGTAGTGTTCCAGAGACTGCATTGCATAGCATGCTCAGCTGCTCTCTGTCTTCTCTTTCAGTCTATAAATAGAAGATGTCTCTTCATAGAGGTAGCATTGCAGCAATGCTAAAGAAGATTTCTGCAAACAATATTCTACAATTTCTACAAATAATACTTCTGTTTGGTGCCACGCAGGCCAAGATAAGGCTGTTTGTCAAAAGTCTTGGTTTAATTTGTGTTAGAATATGTGTTATCCAGATCCAGTTTGTAGAACTCTGCTACAAAGTATTTCTGGAGAGGGGACCTTCATAATGGAAAGAATTGAATATTTATAGGGATGATCAAGATGACCTTAGTTTCTTATGTAGTAAAAAAGGACACCAAAGGCTCTGTATGAAGAGCCCTTGCACTGCGGAGTAAGCAATCTGTTAGCAAACAGACTTGGGAAGAAACTCGTCTTTGGATAGGTAGCTTTTACCATTGGAGGCATTCTTACCTCTTCTTCCAGTTTCTGAGTGACTGCTGCTCCAATCTGATTTGGCCATTGCTATATCCCTAGAAGCATTGGCTCGGAGGTTCAGTGTCTTGATTATAGACAAATGGAAACAGAGCTGTCTAGGTAATGTACTTCCATAAGGCAAATGTCAGGTACTCAGGAAACCTTAAATTATGTTTGAATTTTGTTGTAGGCAACTTGATCTTTATTGTGCTGTACCAATTTGTTTACGGAGAGAGTTCAGCTTTGTTAAATGTTTTGGACATGTTATTTTTCAGCTAGCTTTCTAACTTCAGCAGTTTGGTTCCTTTGTTCTCTCCCTGAAGTCTATAGACCAGTTGTAATTTGAAAACACCACCCCCACACACCCCCCCTCCCACACTGAAAAAATGACGGAAATGTTTTCTTTCTATAGTGAATGTTGTCTTATGCGATATTCATGTACTAAAAATAATCAAGAAAAAGCATGGTGGAGTAGCAGGGGAGGGTGACTTCAAAGTCTTTTGTGTCCTTCCCTTTTGCTCTGCATTGTGAATTAGCCTTTGCCACTTGAATACACGAATGTTGGAAGATCCAAAGCTAGATGGAGAATATCATTGTTATGCTGAAGCCTATGTTGGGCTTGACTCACTCTTCCATTACAGGAGGAACTGTAGCATAACTTTATGGTAATAGTGTGAGGAGCTGCAGAATCAGGACCTATATCAGTTTTAATACCTTTTGCAAATAATAGGAATATTTGTTTTTTATTTTTTCCCCATCAGTCTTTTTTTTTTTTTTTTTCCTCTCAACAGGATCCACTCTGTGTAGCTATGAACTACAGCCATCAGAATACACTACAGACCCGAGGGCCACCAAGTTATGTCCTAAATATCCTGTTCCAGAGAGGTAATATTAACATCTTGTCTGATCGGGGGTGGAAGGACCAGAGATTTGTTTTGTCTGTGACAATTCTTCCGGAAATATGCAGCATAGATTTATTCAATCTTACAGGTGAATGTTTTAGTGTAGTATTGCCGAGTATTTTTAAAAGATTGTCAACACAACTCCTAAAGAAAAACGCAAACTATCCAGGTATTAAGCTGGTATCTTCAAGTTCTGTCTCATGTAACTGACACTGTTGCATGTGTATCAGTACATCATGATACTGATACATCATGATCACCTGTTTTACTGCCTTTCACCCTATAGCCAGCTGTCTGTCAGCAATGCAGATCAGAGACAATTATGGAGCACTTTAGATCCCTGGAGAGAAAAAGGATATATTGACACGCAGCTCTCTGCAGTGTTCCTTTCTTAAATCTTGCCTCAGCCAGTCAGATTTAGCAAATTGCTTCATTTTTTATTCTTTCAGTCCCCAAAAGACTCATATGAGGATGGTCAAGTATCAAAAAGAGGGCTGTATTTTATAAACGAATCAATCTGAATTTTATTGTTTAAAATACTAATTAGACGGCCTTTTGTGAAGTAGGATGGAAAAGTTTGTAGCTCCAGAAACTCTGCTAGCTGTGCTCGCTGGAACTGTGGAGATGAGCACTGCTGAGCAAAGAAGTGGCCTATTTGCTGTTGTGCACACTCTTCTGTCAGTAGTTCTGCTCACTCAGGAAGAATTATATGTTTTCTCAAAATTTATCTTCTCAAACATATTCAGTAGTGAGTTTAACTGCAGAGTCTTTTCCTATGCACAGTTTTCTGTTACGGTTTTATTAAATGTTGCAATTGTGCCAGTTCTAAAAACTCAGATTTTAAGTCTCTCCTGTCTGCATGGTAGCCTCTCCAGTGAATAATTTTTTTATATTGTAGTGACAATAAGTAGCGGCTGGAATATTAACTTTTTTTTTTTACTTTTCCCCACAGCAGATTAATATTCTGTGCAGCTAACCAGCTGTTATAGCTATAATACAAAAACAAATGAAAACTTCAATGCCAGCTTGCATACTGAAAAGACTTGTCAGTCTTAATTTTTGCCGGAATTATATTGACTTTTCTCACTGCGTGTTCCCTTGTCATTCAGTTTGAATGAATATAGCTTAATAGGAAAACAGAAGGATAGAACAGTGTGTCAGAGCTGTAATGACTCTGTAAATTCCTCACAAAAACTACCACTATTTATTTTTGATAAGCTATTGTGTAGGTGGAGTATTTCCCCTTTATTTGATATGAATAAAATGTGCAATATGTTTGAATGTTTTTGAGATTGAAAAGTCTGAACTTAATGCCCTAAAGGCCAACACTGTGTCTGTAAACCACTCTTTTTCAGAGTTTTATAGTTAAATTATTTGAGTAAATTAGTATAATTTTGAGAGGAAATGGAATCCTGTGGAGGCAAACAAATGAAAAACCCAACGCCCTGTAGGCTGAGGCATTCAGGGAGAACTTAGCTAACACTCCTGTTCTCAGATTTGGTCTGTCAGCGGTATGAACCATGATCTAATTCCCATTAGGTCCATGGGATGGAGGTAGCGTATGCCAAGAGGACTGTCCCTTGGTGTTTTCTGTTTGATGATCAGGCTTCTTCATGCTCTTCAGTTGAGGCTTCAGCTCTCAGTGGACTCTGATCCTCCAGCTTCAAGGCATTATGTCCAACTTTGACACAGCAGTGCAGACTGGCAATGGAACCAGCGATACATGTTTCTTCGAGAAACCATGCCTAGCATATCTCAGCCTCAGCACAGCATGACTTCGCTGTTCAGAGGACCCTAGAGGAAAACCTGTCCAGCTTTTCCGTGCAGCATTTATCTATCAACCAGCTGTGCTGAGCTGTGCCAAGGAGCTGCCCTGTAGAGGTTATAAAGAGCTGCTAGCAGTGGCATTCCAACCAGGCTCCCCACACACAGGTAGTTCTATATGCTCAGGTGTAGTAATGAGAGGAAAAAGGCTCTCCTCTGAAATCTAGAACTTGAACAGTCTGATGAGTCTCTTAACTTCATTTGTATATTACTTTAAAAACACAATTTTTAACACCATCATCTGCTGGCTTGAACTTTACTTGCTCTTGTTCATGATTAAGCATCATATTATTATTCTCAGAAACTTGTAATTCCATTTCAGTATGTAATATACCAGATTATAATCAAGAGGCCGTATAAAATAGCACAGGTCATGAAGAACAGATGTATTATTGTATTTTTTGTTAAACAAGACACCTCACCTCACCTCCTCATTCAGTCAGAATCACTGAAACAGCAGTAAATCTGAAGGGGTGGATTCTCAGGAGTCCCATTTACTCAAGAAAGCTTGTAGGAACCACTAACCTCATTTTTTTTTTTTTATTAATTACAACAAAGTTAGAAATTAATTATTGCACTTGAAAATTGGTAACTTAAAATGTGTAGTGAAATTGCTGTAGCTTAAGGGATGTTAGATGAGTAATAGAAACTCTGGTACTCAAAAAGCATGTTTTCCTCTGTTGGGTTGTATTTTGGAACAGTATTTTAATCCCATTAGTTTCCTTTTTCAGAATGAGTATTTTCCATATTTGGATGCAGGAATGACAGTCCTTTGCCTACTCCCAGCTCAAAATTTGAGCTTTATTACTGGTATCGACAACTTCTAAATGCTCTAAGCTTTCCGCAAAGTTGGAGCAGTTAACAATTAAATAAAGCTCTCAAATTTCAGTCTTTTCCAGTATTACTGCATATAATGAACTGCAGTATGCTGCATATTCCAAAAAAGGCTATGTTGTAAGAAGCTGAGAATCCTCTCGGCCTACATGGGTTGCCTTTTAAATAGGGCAGCCATCATTATGGGGTTTTTAATTTGGTTTTTAACAACTGTGACTAATTCACCATTACTTTGCTGAGTTTAAATGCTGTCTTCATTACTACCCAAAAGTAGACCATCAATATGAACATCTCCAAATGCATTTACCTACTCAGCACAGTAAGTTTAAAACCATATAATTTACAATTGTCAGTCACTTCAAACAAAAACATAGGATCTACTAATTACCTAGGTATGGCAGGTGATCATAATTTCTCCCAAATTCTGTACAGAATAATTACATGCTAATGGTTTTCAGCATGTTGTCTTTTTTCCCCAAAAAACAATGCACAGAAAGGATGTGCCTAAGGCAACTGGTTTACTGACTATTTGTTTAAAAGACAGTTAGAATTTTGGAAAGGGATGGGCTTAACAAATAGTTATTGAGTACAGAAAATTCCTCGTTTATAGGTTGCTGCTGAAATGGGGAAACTGCAAAAGATTATGTGCATTGCTGCTAGAGTCCACTGAAATCTTTTAGGTAGGGAAGATTGGCAGGGTGAAAGAAATATAGAGGTTAGAAGAAAAGACTGACTTAATATGAAAGACATTTCTTTTTGTTGGATCCAATTGCAAGAAAGAACATGTAATTCATGGAACATGTGTCTAAAGTGTAATTTGGAAGATTGATCAAAAGATGTAATAGGCCACTTTTAGATCTGACATAGTTCATGAGCAAGAAAGGCAGCTACTTAATGGGAAACATTTGGAAAACAAAATTACCCGCTTTTAAAGTGAAGTTTTTGCTCTCTTGTATCTTCCTCTGATGGACTTGATAACAGGTTCTGCTGAGCATTCTGCGAAGTTTAATGCATAGCATCAGTATTTTTGGGGATGATGCTTCCAGAGCAGTTCAGGAATAATGAAACAATAGAGGCATCTTTGCATGTTTTGCAAAGAATGTAGTGCATAATTTTAACAAAGTTAATGAAAGTAAACACTGTGATTGTAATCTTAAGTACAAGAGCAACTTTAGTATGGGGAAAGACTAAGAATAAATGCATTGGTTTTGCTTGGCAGCAGTTTTAAGTGCTGATGTCCTTTAGCATAAACTGTATGTTTGCAAGAAGAGTATTGTCATTCTGGGATTTCTTTTGCTGCAAATATGGGCCAGTATTCCATTCTAACATGAGTGAAAGGCATTGTTTCAGCTGCTGGTTCACCACCTGACACTTGAATGAGAGATGTTTAAGCAGAAATAGGAACATGTATTTTCTAAGCCTTGCTGTTCAAGAGTGGGAGGGTAATAATTTCCTATTGGATTGTGCACTTCAGCCTCACAGGGATATTTATAAGAACTGCATCACTTGCCATTATGATCATCCTCATTCCAGCAGCACTTGTGCATTCAACACATGGTTTCTGGTTATGATGTTATAAGGGTGGAATGGTTGCATCTATTCACCTTTCATTTGTGTGTTGATGTGGCATTTATATTAAGTAGGAGTAATTTTTTTTTCTGATTTTTTTTTTCTTGTGTCACCAGTGCACCTATTCCATTCTTCCATCGCTGTGCTCCTGTGAACATTTCCTGCTATGCCAAGTTTGCAGAGGCCCTGATCACCTTTGTCAGTGACAGTAGTGTCTTACACAGGCTGATTAGTGGAGTTATGACCAGCAAAGAGATTATAATGGGACTTTGCTTGTTATCACTAGGTAATTGTTTTTCTCATTACTAGCTATTTCTTAGTACTGCATTAGGAGATTGTTAACACCATCTAACCACAATATGACCAAAAAACATGTATGATAGCAATGAGCCCTTAGAAAATGGTTCAGAATGCTTTTTTGAAATTTTGACAGCTGGGTAACTTACTCAGAAGCAATATACATATGCATTCCTGTTTTTTCTCCTCTTTCACTGATTATGAGATAGAGGATATGTGGCTGTTGATTAGCCAACGTTAATTTTGTTATAGTTACCAGAGCATCCCCATTCTCCCTATTTTTATTATAATGTTCCCCTTTCCCATTTCTAATATTCATCATCTGCCAACCCAAGTCCAAATAAACCCTTTACAAATAAAAAGAACAGGGTGAGAAATGCACAATAGCATGCTCTTCTAGAATCTAGCAGTTCTAGTTTGTTTCATTTAACATACTTGTGCAGAGATATGAGAACTTTCAGTGGGAAACAAGAAACTTAGGTACCCATTTGTTGTATTGTATGTTACCTCCTTCTTCCCCTTCCCTCAAAATTAAAAACTTCAGGCCTTTGAAGATCTCAGCCTTGTCTGAAGAACTGGAAATTCCCAGCAGTATAGTGGTGCTGCATCGTTTCTACAGTTGGGAGATGCCTCTGGCCTATAGAGTGACACATTGCACTAGACTGAAGTGCTGTTTTAACAAAGTCTAGTGATTTAAGGTGGAATGCTACGTACCCACATAAATTACTTTACTAATGAGTCTATTTTACTCCTACCAAATGTAAAATCTGAAATCCCAAAATGGGAGGCTGAAGATGCTAGCCACGTATATAAGCAGTGTGTGGTTTAGAAAGAAACACTGTGAAGCTGTACCAGATAAAGAAACTTTTTGTTTTCAGTCTGCCTTAGTGGTTTAAAACAAACAAACAAACAAAGTGGATGCTAGATACCATTAAAAAAACCCAACAACAAACCACAAAAGACCGCTGAGTATCTTTTCAACTATAACTGGAAAGCTATTTATTCTTCTATCTTGACAGCTGCAGTATTTGATAATAATGGTAGAAAGACCATTCCAAATCTGAAAGCTAGTGGCTGATTAGCAGTGCTGCTGTTCAGTTAGAGTCAGAAGTTAGTACAGAGTTTTACATACTTAATTTAAAAAATATTTTTCATACCTTCATACTTAAACAGAATTTATTTATTTTTAAACAATGGGTAAGATTGTGTGATTCAGAAAGCCAGATTCCAATGGCTTTCATGTAACTGGGGTACACAAATATGTATATGCAAAAATATATGCATGCAGTTACACCACTTACTAAATCTTAGTTGGCTGAGATTGTAGAGGGCTTTTTAATATGCAGTTCCTGAATGGCAGTGGAACTATATGAACAAAGCTTCTTAAAGAGCTCATTTTGAATGCTGAAAATAAAGTCGCAATTTTTTTACTTTTTACTGGCATGACATTTTGGAATACATAGGTGTCACATTATCTGCACTTGTTTGACAAGTGTATTTGAGTGCAAATTCTGCTCTGGTCCTTGGGAGATGTGCTCATGTTACCAGACTCTGAGTACTGTCATGTCTTGCTGTCTGTTTTGTCATTGTCTAAATACATCTCTGTCTGTATGTGTGCATTATGTTTTGTATTTAATGTACCATGTAAACGTATTTATGCTCTCTTTGATTTAACCAACAGTATCAAAACAGAAATTATAGAGGTGCCTAATTTCCTTAACTGTCTGTGCAGTGAGTTTGTAAGTCTCAGAAAAGAAATCTCTATCTAAAAATTCTGTTGGAAGGCAGTTATCTCAGTGCAGTGGGAGAATTAGGAAGGCTATTTCTACTTGAAATGATTGCTCTGCTTATTTTATTTGCCTTCTTTTGCAGTGCTGTCCATGATTTTGATGGTTATAATCAGGTACATTTCAAGAGTACTTGTCTGGATTTTAACAATTCTTGTCATTCTGGGATCACTTGGTAAGTCTTGTTTGTTTCCCAGTTTCTGAGTGCCCAGTTCTAATCTTTGTACTGCATGTCCTCAGGCCAGCTACATCCTGCACAGATCTTAGACCATGCATTTCCCTTCAGCTTTCCTTTGAGTCCCTTGCAGAACATGCATCAAAAATGCCACCTTTGTAATTGCAGTCCTCTCCCAGAGGCTACGTTGCTCCTTAGAGATTTGCTGCACACCCAGCTTGCCTGGCAAGCTTCTTGTCGGCCTAGCTTACTAGAGCCCACGTAGGCAATATGGGCTATTCCTCACAGCACTGTAGCCTAGCCTTTAACGCTGCCTACTTCTTAACTTGCTTTCCAAACATGTCAGCAGGGCGGCTAGTCTGGGTGTGTCGGATGGCATAGTCACCTGCTGGGTGTACTCAAGCATGCCGGAATCAAAGGGCAACTATTGTTTATGCAGCCTCAGGGGACCTTAGGATGTAGATGTGTCCATACAACCCTCACATGTTCATCAGCCCCTTCAGTCCTCTGAGCAGCTCTGTAGGTGCATCTAAGACCTTTTCTTGAGGAAGCAAAGGTACATTTCTAGCATTTCTAACCAAATCCTTGTATTTCCATATGACTCAAAGTCCTGCATGACCTTGGTCATGTATGGAATGCAACCAGCCATGCCATCTTGGGAGTGGCCAGAAATTGTCTGATACAAAATGATGTAGCTTGCATGTAAATAGTGTTACTATATCACATTAACTTTTACATTTGTAAAACTAAATTTTTCTATTATTGATACTCAGTAGCTAAGCCAAAATGTATGGGTGGATGACTGTAGAGAAGGAACAAAAATAGAATAATCAAGTTAGGAAGCACTAGCAATTTAATACTTGCAGTTCATGACTGCAGGGAATGGAAAAAAAATCAGCAGACCATGTATGTTTTTTCAGGATCACTTGGTTTTTCTGCTTACTGATCTCAGGATCTGTGACCACAGAAAAGGAAAAAACTAGATTCTTTTTTTTTCCATTTATATTCTCTTTAGAAGCTGAGAAACTGTTGAATGAAAGAATTTAATTGCTTATCTTATTGCCATCTGTTATTATATTCTAAAAAATCACATCCATTACACAGACTGAATAAGAACATGTCATTTGTGAGACATACTGCTTATTCTGTATTCACTGTTTGTTTAGGAGACACCAAAAGAGCATTCTCCATTTTAGACCTGAACGGAGTACCTTCAGCAAAGACTTGTGATCTCTAGATAAGCTTATGCAGCTGATTCAGAAATAACAACAGAACAGAGAAGGGTATTTAAAAGAGAAGAGAAAAAAAAAAGGTGTCGGAGGGGAGACATTCTCTCCCTGAGGGGCTGGAGTCCTGTGCTTAAGTAAAGTTCTACCTTGGAAAGGTAGCTTAGAATAGGGGGATAATATTCTGACCATAAGGCTAGGATTTCCTGACAGGGGTTAGAAGAGAGCCCCTCATATTATGTTATCCTCCTGTGCCTTTCACTGACTTTTTTCCAGTGCCCAAAAGACACTGTCTGGTGCAGGTGTAGCTATGTGTTATTAACCTATGTCAAAACCTGCTGTTTTCAGCATCAGGGCTGTTCCTTCTCCTTGGTCGGTCTTCCCAAGAGTTTTGGACTCGTCCTTTTGTTCCTCTTGTTACTTTGCATCCTAATCCAAAGGTCCCTCTGTGTTCCCCCTCCTAAATTCTTACTCCCTACCTTATTAAACACAAATATACATACATCCTACCACATAACTTTATTCTTCTTTTTGTTCCTCTATTGCCTGTCTAATGGGAGCTGTGATCTTCATTGTTAGGGCTCCCGGTGAACTAGTCCTTTCATGCACTTCACCCTAAAACACAGAGGCAAAGAGCTGCAAGTCTGTTAAGCGGTCATAGTGGGGTGAGACTGTGAAAAGAGTATATCCACTTGAGGAGAGGGCAGCAGAAGAGAACTAAGCACTTCTCCCTCCTTTGAAGTTCCTGTTGGGTTAAGCATCAGTGCCCTTGAGTATTCTGTACCAGACCAGGCTTAAAAAGAAGAAACTGTTGTTTCTCTGGTACTAGGTAGTATGACTGTGTCACATAGAAGGAGCATCTTTCATTTATCCCTTTTTTTTTTTCCTCTCTCTCTAAAATATAGGTGGTACAGGAGTCCTGTGGTGGCTCTATGCTAAGCAACGAACATCTGCCAGTGCTATTGAGACGCAAATAGCCAAAGACAATCTTCAGGCTCTCCTGATCTATGCCATTTCAGCTACAGTCTTCACGGTATGCTTTCCTAATGACTACATTATTTTCTTGTTCTGTCTTCCTAGTGGTGTCTCTTTTTTTATTCAGGTGAAAGGTTTATATTGCACACGTTTTTGAAGAGTTTTTTTCCACTGCAAGCTTTGTTGCAGTGACAACTTTTTTTTGTTTGTGGTTTTTTTTCTCTTTCCTGGTTTTGAGTCAGGAGAGAGTTCCTAACCCTGCAGCTACTTTCCTCTACTGTAAAATGTCGACAGGGACTTTCATTTATGAGATTTTTCTTAGGTTCCGAGTTCAGAGGTACGTAGTCATTTCAGTTTATTTGAAAGTCCTTAGACCATTCCTACTTCTGAAATCTTTCGTTCCCAAACTTTTTCCATTTACAGAACGAACATTGTGAACTGAAGTACTAACACTGATGACTGAACCAATTTATCTTCTTTAGACCTTGCTCTTTGTTTCAGAGTCACTGACTTTACTACTAAATATGGACAATGTTTGACTAACTTATATGACAAGACCGCCACGCTATGTTCAAATATAAATGCTAAATTGTATTCTTTGTTGAATCTTGCTGATTTCACTGTATTGTAAAACATAATTGAGGACAGAATCTGGTTTAATCTCATCAGCATAAGGCTGATGATGATTCCACATACATAATTATAAGATTGGAATTCCTCGAAAGTATAATTTGGAAAATAATTTATCACAAGAAGAAACTGATAGAGGTTTTACATTTTGATCTTGTGATCTTACAATGCATGTGTTAATTTGCTGTGTTTGAATATCCTAGCTATGAAAAATGGTAGCTTGCTTATTTTTTAGTTCTCTGTAATGTGATTTGGAAACTTCTCCCTCTAGGTTATCTTGTTCTTGATAATGTTAATTATGCGCAAACGAGTAGCTCTCACCATTGCCTTGTTCCATGTGGCCGGCAAAGTCTTCATTCACCTGCCGCTGCTAGTCTTCCAGCCATTTTGGACATTCTTTGTGCTTATCCTCTTCTGGACATACTGGATCACAGTCCTGCTTTTCCTTGGTACTACAGGTAAGCAGCTACAAGGCTTATTTTAAGTAAATTCCACTTCATTTTTGCATGGTTTCAGGCAGAGTTGGTTAAAAAGCATGTGCGAACATCTAGAAGAAAAAAGACACATATTGTGCTTCTATTCTTGTCTGCTTCAGTGACTTCAAAACACTTGTTTAAAGACAGTTGTGCATTTCAGTCTGCATTTCCAGTGTGTTACTTTGTGCCTTAGGCCAACTTTTTGATTTGATGCAAGTTGGCATGTTGCAAACCACAAGACTCCATTAATGAGACTGCCATAACAATTTTCAAATAATTCCCTCTATTTTTACACAAACAGGTTAAAACCAGTCTAATCTTACAGCTAATCTCATAAGGCATTGTATTGTAGCCAGTACTCACACAGATGAAGACATAGTAATAAAAGGGCTGTTGCACACAATTACTGTCTCCCAAAATGTAAATATACTGGAAGTAGTTTTCAGTTGTTCATAACTTAAGAGTCCAATATTATTTCAGTGTTTTCCAGGATTATTAGGAAGATTTTTCTGCTCTTTGTGAACTGTATTCTAAGAGCACCCAATGTACTCTCAATTTCTTCCTGCCGTGAAGAGTGTATTAGAAAAAAAGCTTTGTTTGTGTTCAGGGTCTGACAAGAGGTTCTAGAATTAGTTGATCCTATAGGTCCAAATCTTAGTTACTTCAACAGAGAAACTTAGCAACTGCTTTTTAAAATGGGAGATGTCTGTGTTATTTTGCAATAAGTTGTAGGCAATAGAGACCGCCATTCCTTATTAAAACTTGAGAATTTTGGAATGTATTGTTTGCTGCTGATCCAAAAGTAGCAGTGTTTCAGGTCACAGATCTATTTTAGGATCATACAAAATATGTACTTTTTATTTCATAGTCTGAATTCTTAGTGGGGGATGGAGGTAACAGAATTCATGTGGTTTTGTTCTCATTACTGTTGAAGTTTTTAGTTTCCATTACATGCTGTGCTATGTGCAGAAAATGTTCACCCCTGAAAGTGAATTAAGTCTCAGTCCCATGCTTCACTCTGTGAGTTAAAGACCACTGCACAGGGACTAAACTTGTAGCAGAATTTGGACTGATACTAGATTTTTACTGACAGAACTCTTCGATTGGCCTTCATCCTGCAAAAACTAATTTATGCTTTTAGCTTTATATGCACTCAGTATCTTCTGACGTGCGGAAACACACTCTACAACTCGCGGGGAGTTATAAAGCAGGCATGTTTACTTTGGTGCTGTGTGCAAGGGGGATTGCTCCTCCAAACTTGCACACCGAGTAAATGAAGATACTTACTATATACCTTGAAACATTTACATATTCAT